TGAATTTCTAGATTCAGCCAAACCACCAAAATTAAATCAAGAAAAAGTCAAACCTAAAGAGAAGTATAACAAATGAGGAGCTTAAGATAGTAATAAAAAGCCTTTAAGCTTAAACAAACAAACAAATCCAAGGCCAAGTGGATTCACAAGAGAATTCTTTCACTCATTCAAAGAAGATCTGCAGTCAATCCTCCTTTAACTATTACCACAAAAAAAAAAGCAAGAGGAAGAAAGAAAAAGAAACAGGAGCACTTCCAGAGCCAGTATTGCTTCATACTAAAACCAGGTAAAGACGCAACAAAAATAGAAAAACACAGGCCAATATCTCTGAACATAGATTCAAGAATACTCAGTATGATACTTGTAAACAGAATACAGAGATACATAAAAAAGATTATACTCCATATCCAAGTTTGCTTTATCCCTGAAATGCAGGAGGATTGAACATACACAAGTCAGTAAATATGGTAAACTTTGGTCTTAAAGATGGACTTTGGTCTTAAAGACAAAAAAATCACATGATCATCTCAATAGATGCAGAAAAGGCCTTTGACAAAATTCAGCATTCCTTCATGATAAAGTCTCAGAATGTGAGACTAGAGTGAACATACAGACCTCAACATAATAAAAGCTGCATAAGAGAAATGCATAACCAGCGTCATTCTAAACAGAGAAAATCTTGGATCAATTCCACTGAAGTCAGGAACAAAACAAGGACACCCACTATCCTCATTGTTTTATTTTTCTTTAAGTACTAGCTGGAGCCATAAGACAAATAGGTAAAGAAGTCTAACTACCACTGTTTGTAGATGGTATGTATAACACTATACATTAGAGATCCCCAAAATTCTGCCAGAAAACTTTTAGAAATGCTAAGCAAATTCAACATTGTGGCAGGATGTAGAATCAAGCTGCATAATTCAATAGCTCTTCTATACACCAGGAACAAATATACAGAGAAAGAGATCATGGACACACTCCCATTCACAATAGCCTCAAAGAAAATAAATATCTAAGAATAAACCTAACCACAGAAGTGAAGGACCGCTACAATGAAAACTTTAAACCTCTAAAGAAAGAGGTAAACGTTAGAAAATGGGTAGACAGTCCATACTCAATGGATTGGTAGAATTAATGTTGTCAAAATAACCATTTTACCAAAAGGTGTTTATAGGGTCAATACAATCTCAATGAAAATCCTCATCTTATTTCTCACAGAACAGAAATAAAAAATTTGAAATTCTCATGGCACCACAACAGATCTCAGATAGCCAAAACAATCCTGAGCAAAAAGAACAGTGCTGGATGGATTACCATACCAGATCTTAAGATTTATTACAGAATGTGGCAATAAAAGCAATATAGTAATGGCAGAAAAACAGACATGTAGACCCATGGAACAAAATTGAAGACCCAGACATGAGTACACATAAATTCATTTAATAATTGACAAAGATTCCCAAAACGTAAGCTGGAAAAAAGACAGCATCTTCAGCAAATGGAGCTGGGAAAACTGGACATCCACGTGCAGAAGAATGAACTTAGACTTCTCCCTATCACCTTGCAGAGAAACTGACTCCCAATGGACCAAAACCTAAACACGAGGGGCTGGGGAGATGGCTCAGAGGTTGAGAGGCACTGGCTGTTCTTCCAGAGGTCCTGAGTTCAATTTCCAGCAACCACGTGGTGGCTCACAACCATCTGTAATGAGATCTGGTGCCCTCTTCTGGTGTGCAGTGATACATGCTGTATACATAATAAATAAATAAATCTTAAAAAAAAAAAAACCTAAACACGAAACACATAATAAATAAATAAATAAATCTTTAAAAAAAAAAAACCTAAACACGAAACACATAATAAATAAATAAATAAATCTTTAAAAAAAAAAAACCTAAACACGAAACACTGAAATGGCACAGGCAGTGCCCTACATAATAGAGGTGTATGGAAAAGACTTTCTGAAGAAGACTCTCGTTTACCCGAGGAAGAGGTCAGCAACTGACATGTGGGACTTCCAGAACTGAAGTGTTCCGCACAGCTACAGAAACATCAACTGGGTGAAGAGGAAGCCCACAGGATGGGATTTATCTTTTTGCTAGATAAATATCTGAGAGGAATAATGTCCAGAATATATAAAGAACTAAAAATGACCAAATGACCTATTCCAAAAAACAGGCCTAGGACCTGAACAAAGCGTTATCAAAAGAAGAAGGGAAAAAATGGCCAAAGAATATCTCACAAAATGTTTCTTGTTCCTCTAGCACTTACTTAGGGAAATGCAAATTGAAACAACTTTGAGATTTCATCTTACCTCTATCAGAATGGCAACATTTAACAAAACAACTAACAACAAATGCTAGAGGGGGTGAGGGGAAAGGGCCCCTAATTCACTCTTGGTGGGATTGTAAACGGGCGCAGCCTCTATGGAAATCAGTGTGGAGACTTTCCAGAAAGGGAAAAAGTCATTCTGTCATATGACCCAGCTATACGACAACTTGGCATCTGCCCGAAGGGGTCGTGGCATTTGACTCCACAGCTGCTTACTCAGCCATGTTCATTACTATTCCACTCACATTAAGCAGAAAATGGAAACCACCTAAATGCTTGCCACCCTAGGGATGATTAATGAAAATGTGTTACACACTGTGGAATACTACTCAGCTGTAAAGAAAAATCAGATCGTGATCTTTGCAGGTAACGGATGAAACTAGAAAAGATCATATTGAAATATTGAATGACAACCTAGACCCAAAAAGTCAAATGCCATCTCTCTCTCTCTCTCTCTCTCTCTATCTCTCTCTCTCTCTCTCTCTCTCTCTCTCTCTCTCTTCTCTCTCTTTCCCCCCTCCCTCCCCTCCTCTCCTAGCTCCAAATCTTCAGATATCCAAATCCTCATCCCTCATCGAGGAAACTTCTCTCTGCAA